GTGTGTGCAGCTTATTTGGAGACACCACCTGAGATGTTCCCGATCCGAACGACCGGGTCATTTGGTCTATCGGTTATGGGACCACGGGGAAACATACGTGGAGAGCTGATGTGTGCAGGGAAGTGCCGAGGCGATAGCTGGAAAGCTGGGAACTACTCTAATTACTGCTCTTTAACTTCGTACGCCTGATGCACTTTGTCACACTACATGGGGCATCTCCCCTCAGCACCTCGGGATTAATGAGTAACAGGAACAGGTTCCCGGTTCCAACACGTCAGGCTATAGATCACTGCTCAGCCTCACAACATCCCGACGTTGGTACGAGAGGCTGCATATTCAATCGCTCCTCCTGAAAGTATTTGCATCTTTGAAAGCAAATATATTGTGCGTAGCAGGAGAAAAATGAAGTTTTCTGGCAAGACAGGCACACTTCTTTCCATCAGTGGAGGCAATTCAATCAGGAACGCAGGCCATTTATTGCAATATGTGCCTTCTCTGGGGCACCTTCTGGAGTACAAGTCCATTAAATCTCTCTTTGAGTCCCCACCTCTCACTTTGCTACTGACTATTCTCTGCCTTTTTGTGGCCACAGCTTAGTGCAGGTAGAAGACAGACCTCTGCTGTTAGATAAAAGCTGGATCTAAAGGAGAAAAAAAAAAAAAAAGGCAGAAAAAAATCACAGCAAGAAAGGATGAGTAATTTTTTTTTTTTGCATGAAAATACTCCAGGGTCAATTCATGTAACTGGGTGACTATGTTGATTAGTGCTAGATGAGACACAAGGTCCACGTGCCTAAGTTTAATGCACCTGCAGCATTTTCTTAACATCAGTCCCTGTCGTCCTGCAGTCATGTGAATCTTTGCTCCTTAGCCACGAATAAATACCCCTTTAAGAGTTGCTCCATTCTTAGCAGCTTGCTCATCTCCTTGGCTCTTCAGCAAATGCCAGATTTATGGAGTGGAAGAGAGAGCAAGAAAAAGCTCTGAGGAGCTCTCTGCGATAAATACACTCTCCTCCTTACCACCGGGGTGGAAACAGAGTCCTTTGCAGGAGGCCCCTGTGCCACTCGAGTTCCACTTAAGCCCTTGAAACTATGCTTTTCAAAAGACCTTGCATTTCTTCTCAAGCACTGAGTGGTGTTTAGGCATGCACAGGACTTGAACCTGATCCTCCACGTGAGACTGAATTTCACCCCCTAATAAACAGAGGTCCGCAGACCTGTCTTGGTAATGCCAGGGAAAATCCAGGACAACCCCTTGATAATAATGAACTTACTGCGGTTTTTAGGACCTGCAGGGTCGGAATTTAGCCCTTCAGCCATCACACAACCGCAGCGAGGGTGCTTTGGCTTGAGTGTATGCCACCGCATCTTATTTACATATCTGTCTGCAAGCTAGATCTATAAATGGTCCTGATGAAACTAATAATTCAGAGTAAAAAATGTATCATCTTAATGACTCCCTCCCAGTGATAATTATGTATTTAAATAGTTTCTGTCAACCAAGAAATATTTTCTCTTCTCAAGGCATTATTTTCTTTCTTCTGGGAAAGAAACAAACTCTTGGGCTGACATTTCTTTGATAAGCTACAGAACATCAGCAGTGTTTTCAAAATTGTCCATGGTGGTGAAGGGTATCCTCATTTCTCCATAAAGGAACAGAAAATAAAAACCATCACCATCAACAGATGGACAAGCCAGCGGGAGGATTTGCGAGAGCCACCTGAAATAAACTAAGCTGATAGAATTTGGCACTTCTATCAAAACAGATCTTGAGCAAAAGCTTCTAAATTCAGCGTGACACACATTTACATTTCTTTTACAATTTTTTTTCACTACGCTGCTGCACCTGAACAGTAACACATGAACACCACCAAACGTACTGCTGTCACCTTCCTCGTACCCCAGCCCACCCGAAACCAAGTCGATACCTTCTGCACTAAGTAACACAGCATCACACTCGATTCGCACGTGGGAAAGGTTCTAGATTTGCAGGGTCTGTGTTTTATCTTGGACACCTCCGTCCCACTCACACCTGAGCTCCTTACCCTCACTTGACCGTTTTGCCCTCCAAACGGGGGTAACTCCTCCTCCTCGTTTGCCAGAGGAATTTCTCTTTTTCCAAAACTGTCCTCGCTGAAGCAAATAAACTGCATGCCATCTGGCTTCTGCCATATTTTTCCATAAAGATACCATCCTGTACTATGTACCACAGAGCCCGTACGTCTGGAACAACCTGGATTACCAACGGTTCAACTTCAAAGGCTTGCTCATCTGCAGAGAGCAACCAAGCACAAGGCTCCAATTTCTTTTTGATTAGGCCTTTCAAAGCATCCCTCACGAATCAAAAGGGAAGAATATAACATTATTCTATGGCAATTCTGACATAAAAGCTGCAATATTAGGCTGTATAAAACAAAAAAAGGGTTGCTCCCCCCCCACCCTCCTGGTTTTGGAATGAAAAGCGCCTTATTATAAATATAAGAAAACCCAACAGCCTCCTGATGATAATGACTCAGTCAATTTATCATAACAAAATGTCAATGTCACCCATAGAATAATCATGTAAGAATACTTCAAAAATAGAAAAAAAAAAAAAAAGAAAGAAATGCACCCAATTCTGGAATGACTGTAGGGGTTGCTTATGAAAAACGGTGAAAGTCACGGGCTTAAGTGATTAAGTTGAATATATAGCTCATTCATTTGCAATTTGATTTTAACTACGGACAAGATGAGTGAAAACAAGAACGGGAGCGTCTGCATCATAATATTAATAAAACATAATTAGGAAAAGATTAGCATAGGAGAAAGAAAAGCATCTTAATTCACCTTCCCTTAGCCTGCCAATGCGTCTCTTGCTGTTGATTATTATTTTCAGAGAACTGGTGTTTACAAAGGTTTGATTAGATTGGAAGAATGCAAATTAAGAGGGAACTGGCTGACAACATATTCCCCTCTGTGTGCAAGAAGGTGCTGGAAATCACAGCAGGGACCACCGCAGGATACCCGGACTATCTAGGGATGGTGTTGGCTATCGTGTGTGGCCATGCCCGAGTCCCAGTCCAGAGAGGTTCATGGGTTTTGTTAAGGTCGTGGGCTCAGCAAAATGGGTGGAGAAATATGGTAGGCAGTGCTGAAGTCCCTGGCAGGCAGAGTTGCATGGAAGAAGACAGAAATAGTCCTGAGAAGAGGCCATGGAGCCAGGTCAGATGTGGCAAAGCTGAGCAAAGCAACCATAGCAAGGAAAAGACAATGTATTTATTACCGAGCGGTGGATTATTAGAATAAAAATGAGAGGAAGCATCGTGTGTTCTCACTGTTTCCTCAAGGGGAAAATATGCTTTTCCTGCCTACGTTTATTTAAACACTAGCACACAATTTGCCTTTGGTAATACGCTTTAGTTTCAATCCAGAAGTCTGTTCCTAGAACAAGAAATGTCTCCTGCATGTCCCGTAGCCACTTGAGGGGGGCTGGGAGAAGGAAACTTTCAAGTCAAACAACGGCTGAAAAATAAATAAAAGGGGCTTTTTTCTATAGCCAGCTGCTGGACTAGAAGGGCTGAAAATGATTTTGGCTTCTGCACAATGGCACAAAGTGGGAAAAAAAAAACACACCACACAACACACCTCGCAGGCAAGGTGGAGGATAAGGGATTTTGAGAACAGCATTTCGGCTTCCTTTATACATCCAGGTTGCCCCTCGCCTCTAACACCCAATTCTTTATTTCTGATGGATTCAGCAGAACCTTCAAGGACAGAAAAAGATGACAAAAAATTCTTCTTCAGACACTACCCTACATCTTTTGTTACAGTATAAAGGCACATAATCTGTAAAAATCATTTACTCTCTCTCCAACCGAGGCTAGCAAACTGATAGCTTAGAGAGAAAGCCACTTTGACATTTTATTCACATAATATTTTTAAATTATATAAGCTCTGTTCAAGTCTCAACACTGAATATAGTCTGAGCCAGTCAAGGAAGAAATCTGGCTTTTTGTAACTGCTACCAATAACTTAGGCATTTACTGCAGAGATGTGATAATAAAGAGCAAAGAATTGTTTATTTTTATACCTAATCTAGAACACACATTTCCTTACAAAAAGGAAGATCAAACCAGTTTATACACCAAAACTGTTTACAAAGATTAACAGCTACCTTTGACCTTGGTTTAGGGAGCAAATGCAAGGCGTTAAGATTAGAAATATGACCCTTACTGTACCTATTTGGGTACGTCCTCCTCGTGAGCTGCTGTAATAATGGCAAACAACAATGCAGATAATTTAATTACTCTGTTATTTGTTCCACCATGGCATCCCTTCTCCTATCACATACATGCACGAGTCCTGTCCCTGCAATAAAACTCTGGCTTAATGAAAACTTGGCTGCAGAGTCCACCCACTACCCATACACCATGTCCCGGTGGTTTAAAATTCATCTCCCACAGCTATTGTCACCTGGCTTGCATAACTCCTTTGGGCAGGCATTTATCAGCAGAACCGACTTGCGCTTAATCACAGTGAATGCAAAAAATAGATTTTTCTGCCTGGTTGGTGTAGCTTTCTCATATCTATGAGTTTTCATATCACATGCAAAGAGTGATTCCCTTCCATATGACACTTCGGAGTAGAAATGTTTTAACTAGAAAGCTCACGAGTGTTTGACATTTCTCTTCGTCAGATTTATCATCATCATCCACAATTTTCCACTTCTGAGTGGGCTGCAGCTGATGCATGAAGATCTGTTCTGCCTTTGTAATCCACCCTCACTAGGGTGAAAAAAAGCCAGGTGAACTGAGCCCTGGAGAAATACCAGCTCCTTTCCTCCAGCCACTCGAACCCTGCTCCACCAGGGCCAAGGCAATGAACAACCCGACCTGTCTTAAATAGCAGCACGAGGCTTGCAAAATGGATGGCAGAGCATCAGACATGAGCTACCCTTCCAAGAATTGTCATCTTGAGTGACAATTATCATCAGGGGCTTTACTGAAAGGGCCTAAATTTGCAACTGCTGCTATCTGGAAAAGAAACAAAGACATGATAAAGCAGCTGTTGTCATTGCCTTGCGCATGGCAGCTGAAGGTCTGGCATTTGCCCTGAAAAATCACTTTCTGAAGGCATTGGCTGAATATGAGAGCCACGGTCCCAGGGAGCAAAGTTTCAAGATGCAGAAGCTAAATCCACGTTGGCAATGGAGGTCTCTGTGCCTGGGACCAGAGTCTCTGCGGGGCACACACCAGGCTTCGTCCTGATAGGCTTGGACATTATTGCCCAGAATTATATCACACAATTAATAAGAGCAGCCAGGAAACACGAAAACAGGAGTTTGGCTGAAACGCTAGCAACTGCGATGCTCTGATTCCTTGTGCTACCCAGAAAGACAGCAAGGAGTTTACCTACAGCCCCGGAGCTAATAAAACCCGGTGTCATCCCTGAGATATGATAAATGAGCTCCCTTTTCCAGTAGCTGTGTTTCCAGTTGCTATGTTTAATGAGAAATATGCCTCGCTACACTTGTCTTATTTGCTTCTTCACACGCCTGGACGCGATGTGGAGGGTCTGGGGGTTAACCCCTCCTCTCCTCGAGCTCTGCAGGGCACGGCGTTGCTTTTGCTGGCACCGCTGCAGTCAAGCATGGGATGCGACAGAGAAATGCGGCGTGACCCCTGCCCAAAATGAGAGGCTAACACAGGGACATCTCTCCCCAGGTGTGGGCACATCTTTCTGTCTGCAGTGAGAGGGGTTTTCTTCATACTGCAGGCCATGATAAGGAGAACAAGGAATGTAGCAGCATCTCGTCGTGTTGTCCTTACTCCTAGCAGGGGATTTACATGCATGTCACTCCTCCAAAACACTCTGCTGTTACTTCACCCACTGGCAGCAGGACACTAACAAGGGTCAGAAATCACGGCATTAACTCTGGGCATTGTTTTGCATTCCATTAGGTCTACTACATGCTTAATTAATTACCGGCACACCAGTAGAGATGTGACTGATGATGACTGCTTGCTCAGTGGGCTTCTCCTGGGTGCGTTCCCTGCTGCAGAGGCAGAGCTGCTGCAAAGCCGATTTGATGCCAAACGACACTGTACAACTCCTAGATTGTGGAGAGCCCTGCCCGAGCAGGAATGAGCTAAAGCTATGCAAGAAAAAAGCTCATCCCAAGTGGCCTGAGCCCCCTGAAGCAAGGGGGGAAGAAAGGAAGAAATATTGAGGTCCTGCCTGCTGCAGAGGAGCAGGCTGCAATCTCTCCGCGCCGCAGGGAGTGCTGGCACAGCAACCTCCTGCCCACCATCGCGGCACAAGCATCCCCTGAGTAATGAGGCAGGTGAAGGATGGATGGCTGCAGCTTCACAAAGAGCCAGGGATGATTGATGGGCCCGAAGAGAAAGATACGATTCCTTGATTAAAACAGAAACTAATTGATGGGCTCGGAGATGCAGATGATGGCTCTCAGCTTCCGTCCAGTGACAGTGAAAGGTGGCTGGATGGAGAGCCAGCAAATGCTGGTTCAGCACAAAAAGTAAAAGGAAATGAGAAACTTGGGTGTCACCAGTGTCAAATGCCAGCAGAAGAAGAACAGACTCAGCAGCACTTTTTCAAAACATCCTGGGAGACCTGTTGTGGTCACATGAAAGGAGTGGACAAGGACTCTTCAAGGATGCTCGACGCTTCTCCAGTCTTCAGGCAATCAGAATTTATGAAGTGCTCAGCAAAGACAACAGGGAGAGAGGGTGATGAGAGGAAGGATGGCAAAACACGCGTTGGTTTCAGAGTTCCAAGGGTGTCAGAGCAGAGGGGCAAGTTTCCAGCCAAAGTTAAGCCTAAAAAGGCTTCTCAGCCCATCTTACTTCCCACATGTTACTAGAAAATGGATTTGAAAATAAATTCTGCACGTCTTGATACAGCTAGGTAATTGCTCCAACACCTCAATGAGCCAGGGGCTCGAGTCTCAGCACGAAGGAATTATGTCCCATCCCTTTCACCATCCCACCCATATGTTATACAAGATTATCATATCGAAATTTTTTATTTTCTAGTCCTCTCCCTGTCATATCAAAATTCCCCAGTACAAGGAAGGTTCAAATTTCTGTCTGCCACAGCATCCCTTTGGCTAAGCACTTAGGCTCCTCATTCCCAGTCAGAAACTGGGATTAACATTCCCTTTCCCTTCCCTATATAGACAAAAATCTCTCTGAATGACTCTCCTTGAGCAGGTACAGCACCCTGCACAATAACTTCCCCATCCTTGACACGCACGGGAACATAAACATGAAACTAAACGATCCCTTTGTTATTAATGTATTGCATCCAGAAAACTCACTGCAATTTCTGCTAAAGAAGGTCCTGAGTGTTTTTATAGCTCTCATCATTTATCCCCAATGGCTGCAATTTTGAAATTATTAACAAACTTAATGTAAAAATAAGGATTTACAAAAGTTTCGCTTGAGTTTAGTCACACATTTAGGTCCAGGAAACTTAAATTTAGATCTATGACAGATAGTCTAAAAAAGCTTTTGGAAACCTCGATGAGGAAAAATCCATTACAAACTCAGAATTAATCTCAACAATCTTACCTATTGATTTTTTGCCTTTTATCAATTGAACTTCTTGTTCCTGAATAACTCATTTACAGGTAATAGACTGAAATAACAAAGTCCTACACAGTTATAATTGACACTATTTCCTAGAACATGTTCATCAGAAATTATTGGTCTAATAATGATTTTTCAGATACTAGGATAGGCTAAACAAACTCCAGGCTGCCATAAAGAAGAAGAAAGCTTAATTAAATTTCATTTCAGACATCAGACTCCAGCATCTATCTTCTCTACCCTCTGTAAAATAGGACAAAAATCCTTTGATTTATTTGCATGGGCAGAAATGACCGATCGTAACTCACACCATAACAGACAAGTTTTGCTTTTCAAGCCAGGCTTTCTCCATGATTTGCTTTCTGTAGAACCCCATTTTAGACACGTAAAAAGCTAAAACTGAACCAAAAAAGATTAAAATCTGTGGGTAACAGAACACTGAAGCATTCAGCAGGGACTTTCTCAGTGCTCAGCCTACATGCGGGGCTCATAACGGGGTGTGAGCAAACAAGGCAAGCTACGTCTCCTTTCTGGCTAAGGACCACGTCAGTAAAGTTACAACAAGGCAGAAATTTTTCAGGTGGGAGAAGGATTGAGCCTTCAGGTTCTTCTCCCAAGCAGGCTGGATTTTCTACCTGCCTATCAAGGTATCGATGCTACCCCAATGGTCACAGCATCCCTCTGCTACCTGCTCCTACTGGGTACTCCCAAGCAAAACGTCATCCCCAGCTCATCTGTTGGTGCATTGTGCATTCACAGAAGTCAAACAGCTCAAATAATTTCAACAAAAAACACACGCTTTCGCAAGAACAGCTTTTCCCCTACGGTAGAGACTGTATGGCCACCCCGATAACCCTAGCAGATTCCTGCTTTGCTAGAAAACAACAGAAAATGGTGGAGGGACCAAGAGAGTGCAGAGGCAGGGATACAAACACAGCAAGGAAAAGGAGCCTTATTGGACTTGCCATGAAGAACAACGGTGTTATCCCGCATTCAGGAGGAATTAAGGATTCTCTCCTTGGCTGTTTTATTTCCTCAGAGGTTAAGGGGAGTGAGAGAACTTGTTGATTATCCTTATTTCCATGCCCCTTGTTGTTTGACTGATTTGTTCCCTGCGGTATGATACGGAGATTGTGTATTACAGAGGTCAGCACTGAATCCCAGGTGCTTTCCAGGCTCTTCATTGCTATATAACTTCCAGTGCAGTGGGGTTTAGAAGCCCAGGACAAGATTACAGTACGTTTGTAAGCACTCTGTACCGGTACGGTGAGAATTTTCATTACCCCAAGGAGCTCACAACTTGAATTATCCAGAAGACGGAAGGAGTCAGAATATTATATCCATCTCCCCTCAGTATGGGAAACTAAAACAGAGAAATTCAGCCGCCTTATAACAAAGCTTTGAGAGGATACTGAGCAAGCAAGCAAAGCTTCATCCCAACATGCCATTTCAGTCCTTTAGCCTACAACAATCTGGAGTGAGAGGAGGCAAACAGGCAATGAGAAAAAGCACCTCAGTTAAGAGAAACTGCCAGCGATCGTTGGCCCCGCTTTATTTGGAAATGACCTGAAAAAATGCCCATTTCCCTGAACAGCAGTCACCTATCGCCTACCGCCAACATCCCGTTCCCCTTCTATAAGTCATCACAGCCCAAGGGAAGGGGAGCTGCAAGAGGCTGGAGGACCCGATCACTTCTTCCCTACTCCCTTCCAGATCCGTACACGGATTTAATGAGCAAAGTCTACTTTTGCGTTTCCAATTTATTTTGCAGAATATCGAGCAGGACATTCAGAATTTATTACGTTGGTGAAAGCAGCATTGTGCAAGCCCGCTTCCATTTCCACCATCACAAGGCTAGAGCCTGCCAACGTGAAATTAGCTACAAATCCAGGGAGCTGGCGCTAGGTGAAGCAGGTGGCCAGGCCTATAATTAATCCATATACTTCCTCGCTCTGGCGGCACGCCAGCAATCTCAACTGAAACTAATGCGTGAGCAGCCAGAGTTGCACTGGAAATAGTCAAGCATCAGGCCCAGGGAAATAATTAAATCCTTTGGGTGTCCATTTCAAAGTGGGGCTCTGGAAGAGTTTGCTCGTCACTGCTACTGCTTCTTCAGTGCTCCAGGGGATGGGAACGGTGACAGGGAAGCTCCAGGTTAAAGCTCATTTTTAAATAAGGCCAACATCTGGGCAAATCGTTTCAAGGAGACTTTTCCAGGTTGATTGAAATGCAGCTGCAAGTCCAAATCCCGCTGGTTTTGACTGGGAAGCCATCCGCAGGACAAGGCCCTCCCAAGGAGCATCGCTGTCACTCTTGCTCTCTTTCAAACAAAATAACACACTTCTTTTCCTGAGCTGTGCCTCTGAAACTTCCAATGATAAGAGCAAAGACCGACGGGCAGCATGCTGATTAAACTGTTTGATTATTTGGTTTGCTTGCTGAGGTTTCTGGTTTTGATGTTTTTAAATATATCCACATTCTTCTAGGCCAAAGTTTCTTGCCTTTGAATTTTAAATAAGGGCTTTTGAGACTATAAAAAAACATCAGGAATTAGAATTCTCTAGTTAGGTAAAATGGGGTCCTAATTGATATAATCAATTCAGTGTGTTCAGCTATTGTCATTAGATATAAGCCTGGAATATATGGCACAAAGAGTAATTGCTGATGATGTATGCAGAAAAAGGTAGTCCATGTTTCATTTGTACCACGTCCTTTTTATTTGCATGAAATATTATGAAACTAGACAATCATTAAAGAAATGTAAAAATCACCGAATGGACTCTGCAACAGAGGTTCATCTTTTATTTTGCCCCATGTTTTCCCAGAGTTTTCTTTGGACTATCTTATCTTTGCATTTCTATTTAGTCAAAAATTTCATTTCTCTCTCTCGGCCGCAGAACTGATTGACAGTGTGACAGCAGACAAAAATAAAGTAGGAATTAATAACAAGAAGTGTTTATTCTTTTAAGAGAGACAAGGTGAGAGGGAACTAAACAAATATGAGCTGCTGTCAAAGAGAGTCAGTGCAGAGGTTAAAAAGTCCAGGAGGACCAGACTGACTGCCAGCGGGGCTGCGGGGAGCAGAGATAGCCCTACCTTAACGTTTGACAGATGACTGGGAGCCACCAAAGATCTGGAATTGCCAACACTATCGTCTGTGACTCCTGCTGGGGAGTTCTCCATCCGCAGCCCATTTGACTCTTGGATCCGGCTGAACATGGCAAGTGGGCGTGAAGAAATCAAACCTGGACGTGGCCCATGGGCAGAAGGAGAAAACGAGGAGAAGGAGCAGCTGTTGTGCCTGTCAAGGGAGATGAAGATCAGTGAGTGAGAGCGATTTACGGGCCGGCTGTACCCACTGGGACAAGTGCTAAAGGTCCTCGCTGCTGCTGCCTGTTCTGCCTCCTCCCCAGCCAAGTGCCTGAGCAGCCTCGATACACTTCTTATCTGCGCAGTGTCTGAGCAACAAATATGCCACCAGAGAGACGCTGTGGGTTCCAGATGTCAAAAGCAGTTGGTGAACAGATTAAAATGAAGTTTGCTGTAGAGCCTCGAAAGGACAAACCCTGCGCGGGAGAAATAAACCTCCCCGCTGGGCCAGGGGTGGCACTCCTGCACTGCTGGCTTGATGTATCGCACTAAACAGAGATGTGAAAGGTCTCTCCCTCCTCCTTGGTTATTTTATCTTTCCCACCGAGCAGGAAACCAGCATGCTGCAGCTTCAGTCCTTCTGCAGCCCCCGTTTTCCCCGAACACACACAGAAACCAGTCTGAGCTGAGCTCCTCCTGCTCTGCTTAATGCCTGCACCACAGATACCCACTGCAGATCTCACGCTGGAGCAGGTCTCTCATTTATCTTTTCGGAGGCCGTATGAAGTCTTACAAATGCTTAGCTCATTTCCTTACTCCCATCCTTTTACTTCCATATCATTTAGGCAGCAGTGTATGTCTCAGGGTTAGCTCATTCTAAAGGAAATGTAAGATACGGCGTCTAAAATGTACAGATTACAGAATAAATAAATGACAAGTCCATTTTATGGTATTCCAGTAACTCCAGAGGGTGCTTATGCCTGTCTTTTACAGATTATTCATGCCTGCAGCATGCTCCTAACACTTCTTAATCATGCATTAAGTAATCACTAATGAAAAGAAAGCTGCATCCTGCACATGGCTGTGACCAACCTTTTAACACACTTCATCACTGAGCATTTCCCCGCAGTCTTTGCCTACGCTGGCCACACTCCACAGTTGGTATTTCATTATTTTAGGTACTGCTGGGTGTCACAAAATGGTTCCCAGTCCCTCACTGCCCTCCCAGCCCAGTTTTGGCAGGAGGGAAAGGAACATGAGCTGCAGATGGGAGCAGAAGCAGAGGTGCAAGCAAGCGGTGACTGTCCTGTGAGCATTTCATGTTATCCACGTGCTCAGAGGGGGAAAAAGGTGAAAAAAAAGGCGAACATTTTACTTTAAGGCCAGGTTTTCAAAGATGGTGCTTGGGAGCCAATGTCCTCTTGCAGTTGGTGACAGCTGGGGGAGCTCAGCACCTTTCGATGCCAAGCTGGTTATTTTTTATTTTTTGCCATGTCACTGCCACATCAGTTTTACCAGCACTTCTATTTGCTCCGTAGTAATACCTACAGACCCTGTGCAGGCTGAGGCTGTGTCCTGCTGGGCCCTGCCTGGAGGTGCAGGAGGAGATGCCGGCAGCACCAAGAGGTGGCAGAAGGAAGAGAACCACTGCCATGGGGAAACTTAGGGTTCAAGGTGTGGATGTCCCCTGAAAATGTCAAACCCAGCGGCCAAACAGGCCTGCCCCGACTGCCAGCCCATCTTCTGCCCATTAGGAAAACTCAGCTGTTCCCATTTGTAATGCATCTTCTGGCTTAAACAATCTCCAGCTCCCCGGAAAACAAAATAAATACAAAGGCGCAGCATCTTAGCAGCCCCATTTCTTATTCAGTCGCTGACAATACCTAATGAAGTGGATAAATGATTAATTAGGAAACGGTATTTCTTTACAGAAACAAGCTCTCGGGGATAAAAAAAAATAAAATAAAATCCCTTGACACTGTTGTTCACTGGTCTGTTACCCACTATTTTTAGTAAGTGGAGAAGGAGCCGAAACAGCACGAGAGGAAGCACAGCAGTGGTTGATCAGAGTGGTAACAACAAACAGCCCTCCAAACAAATCGCCAGGCGTCGTTTAATGCATAGCTCCCTGGCTATGCAATTAAGTCCTCTGCCATTCCTGATAAATACAGAGCTCCAGGAATGGTAATTCATTGTTAACACCAGACTGCTGAAAAATTAGAAATCTAAAGGGGGAAAAAAGGGGTGACTTTTGGTGATCCACGTTGCATTGTGGGAGATACACTGCCTGGAGCAAAAAAATAATGAGAATAATATAATATTGAACCTTTCTCTCAAAGAAAATCATTTTACAGCCTTCCCATACCAATACTAGACTAGCCGTGTCCGAAACACCAAGCAGGATATTACCTCTCTTAAGGTATCTTTCTGCATAAGTCCAGGCTATTATTAAGAGACATCCAATTAATAGTTTTAAAAGATGCATATAAAAACTGCAGCTACAAAACTTTTATTCCAGTTCCACCCTAGCAGTCACCTGAAGTATGCCATAATGTCTTTTAATTAAGATATTTACAATAGCACTGGGCAAGAAATTCAGAGTGAGACATTTGTCTGCTTGCCATTCATATTCAGGAAGGAGATGGCAGCGCTCAAAGCCGTCAAGAGCTCAGTTTAAAAGTTCCCTTTGTACCTGCTGCTTTATAATACATAGTTTGGCTTCTTTTTATGTTCCAGAGTATAGCAGAGTAAAAAAAAAATAAAAAATTAAAAATATAATTCACATATCCAGCTGCAATAATGAGAATAGTAATAGAAAGATCAAAACAACCATACCATCCCAGGCAATAGAAAACAAAACATTGATTTTAGCTTTGGATTTCTGACCCTTAAGTCTTGGCTATTTTCATTAAGGATACCTTGGTTTGTAAGCAAAGCAGCAAAACCAATGAAATAACTCGATGAAACACTGACAGCAGTGATTCTAATTTTTCTCTACAGCTACTGACAAACAGCTGAATGCTTTCAATTTTCTTCCCATTCCTGACAGCGCTTTTGGAGAGAAAGACTTCAAAAATGCATGCTTACATTTATCCCACTGCAGTTTAACCTTTGCAACACCCGGGTCCTCCCCATGAAAAATAAATAACTCGCTCTCACTTCGCATTTGGAGAACTTCTATTATGACATTGAGTCCTGCCTGCATGTGGTTGGTGCTCAAGGTCTCTCCTAGCGGCGTCAATAATCATCTGAGCTTTGCCTTTGGAGTCGTTCTGCCTCCATTTTCTTTTGTATAAAGCACAGAAAGAGAGCAGCTGAAATCAATCTGCCTTTGCTGTGTTCACCTCCCTCCTTTCTCATTTCTCTCTCCTTCTCCCCAGAGAGCGGAGGTGTAAAAAGCCATTTCTTGGGAGCTGAAATCTTTGGCGTGAGCCTACACTCGGCATTCCTTCCTTGCCCCCACCTCCCCCCAGGGCTGCTTACGTTTCTAAGACAGGTATTCCAAAATTAGCACCAGTCCTCTGGTCTTACACCAGCACTCAATCTCAGTGGCCTTTATTGCTTTTCCACCGTCGGGACCCAGCAGAGCTGGATTCCAGTTGCATCCTCGTTGTCCAGCATTTATCCTTTGCTTTTCCAAAGGCCATTTCCCAACACGATGTGACTCCTAAGCAGATGTCCTCGGGGCACTTACTCCTTCTCCCCAGCCAGCAGGCTGGGCTGTTTCTCTGCGTGTGCTTTCCTCCTAAGGGTTTCAAAGCCAATAGCTCTGGATAGAGACCATTAAGCCTTAAATGACCTATAAATTCCTATTAAAAAAAAAGTTACATTTAATTCATTTTCCAAATTTCCACCCAGCATTGCCTCTGCCTGTGTCAAACTCCATAAGGATCAATAACTCCAAACCTGGTTGCTATTACATTCCTGCACAGGAACAATTAATATCTATCTTGGGGTTTTACACTGCCTCATTGCTGTGGTTTTTGAATGTTTTCTGCACAAAATCAACCACATCAACTGAGTCCTCAGAGGATATCCGAGAGTCTCCCACAGATCTGCCTTTCCTGGGAAAAGCAGTTTCTGCTTGAAATGTTTTTTTTCTTTTTTTTTTTTTTCCTCAGATAGGTAGAAATATGGAAGAAACAGGTAGACAAAAATTCCTCTTGAGCAAAGCATCTAACATTGATAAAACACATCTCCCTCGGGTCTGAAGCAACATAGCCCCTTGCCAACTCTTGGAAAGCAGATTTTTGATCACCCTCTGCAAAATTATTTTACCCTGCTCTGTAAGTCTTTTTGTTTCAGAGGAGTTTGAAGAAAACTCTGCAGAGTTTTTATTTAAAATACGCATTAACCCCCTTCGATTGATCCAAGGTGTGCCGTCAGAGGAGGTTTACCTGGCCCCCAGCACGGCCTCTGCTTTCCTTGGAGGACTCCTTTTAGTCTTTCACAGACTTAGGCAAGGGTTTGCTTCTGCTTGCTGCCGCCAGTCCCTTGTGTACACATCTCAGGTCGCTGCCACCTCAAACATGACCCCGGTGGCGCCGTCTGTCCCCGGGCCTACCTGCTCCATCACCGCACGGCCACGACAGATGGCTCTGCTCACACTCATGAGCCAGCAGCTCTCAAACGTGTTGCTCCTAACCCTTTGCAGGGCTGAATCTGGAGATGAATGCCCGCTCTTGTTTGCAGCACATTTTTAACGTTGCTTGAACTGGAAATATTTATTCGAGTCGCAGTCCCTTCGCTTGCTCCTTCTGGCTCGCTTTATGGACACAGTCGCCGAGGAGCAGCAGGCAGTGATGAAAGGCCCGATTTAAAAATTCTGCACCCTCTGTAACTTCCCGCAGGTGGATTTATTAAGGGAAGTTTAATCAGCTCAGAGAAAATCCCCGGAGTAAAATGCAGCGCAGGCTTCCCTCAATTAATACCTACGCAGCTCTTCTTTCTGCCATTGCTCGCTTCAGCACGGGGCTTATTTCCTCCGAAGGAAATTTGTGGGAAAACAAGAGAGCTGCTCAGCTCATCCATGGAAAATCAGGGTAGCTTATTGGAGTGGAAATCGCTTTAATCGCAGGGAGAACAAGCAGTGAGGAAGGCTGTAACTCACAAGCAGACAAAACAAGCTCTGCTGGACTTTGTCAGCGCCCACCACGGATTAGGGGAGCCCACCCTGAGCAAGGGCCAGGCCCCTCCAGTAGCTCCTGCTGG